TCGTAAATCGCTTGCACCAAGAACGTCATTGGGAAAATAGGGCGTCAACATTTATTTATCCCAGACACATCTCGTGCGTTAATTCTGATTCACGTCTTCATTCCAATATTTTTCGCAGATGTTAGTGGCAGTGTTGTAGATCAAACCCAGAATCCTTCTAATACTGAACCACTGCTAGATAGCCTTGGCCACCTCTTTCTGTTTAGCTACTTACCAGTCATTATCTCCCGTATGATAGATAAACTCAGAGATTGATACAGATTCGTAAAATTTGTAAATATCTCCTGGATGAAAGAAATATTCTGTCTCCATATAGCAGAGTCCTTGATAAGTTAGCAATTGCTCATCCAGTCAAGAAACCACCTTTAAGCAGCCTGAGCGTTCATTACCATGTTCACAAGAACCCCCTACTGGACTAATTTAATAATTCGTTTTGTAATCTACTCCTTTATTATTTTGATTCTTACCGAGATTTGACATTTACTGACCATATTATTTAATGACTCGATTGTTAATGCTCAAATGTACTAGATTACATCAACGTTAATTACCTAATTACTATTTTCGTAAATATTCGGCTATACGTAATAATAAATAAAAATAAATTTCACTTTTGTTTGTGAAATAAAAATATTATTTTAATCTGGAGAGCGTGATTTTTTGTACCTTTACAAGGTATAATTCTGGAAGGATCGGACACAACAAATGAGTATCCTATCGCGATAGTTAAGACTAAGATATCGCCGAATGGAGGACGAAAGTTGAGCTTACTTGTGCGTAATGATTGTTTCAAGTAACAATTTTTGAATTTCTATTCAAATAAGCTAAAATTAATATATGCGACTTACGTTTTTGCTTATCCAAATAATTGTTCTAAAGTAATCAGTTCATACAGTTTTTTCTCGAGTATTTGTGATAAGCTCTAAAACATAATTCATACTCTTGTGCTACATGGTCGTTAAAACCGTCCGATCTAAGTAAAAACTGCAATGGTTAGACAGTTTTACATAATTCTCTAGAATTAAGTTTAAATAAATTCCAGTTATCCGTTCTTGAGTTGATTCATGCGTACGATGGGAGATAACTACGTCTGGGCTTGAAGGCACCTTGCTCATTGCAACCACGGCGACCGGTATCTGGCAGTGTTGCGTTGAAACCACCAGTGACGAACAGACACAGTCCTCAAGGCGCGTTTCCTTGGACACGGAAATAATGCCAGTCTTCTTTATTTCTGAGATTTTTAATAAACCAGTATCAACTGCATGTGTTATCTTCGACTGAGAAATGGTGTGTTGGTGAGAAATGGAACAAGTCTTATGTTATTTCTACATTTTCTTATAGGAATTGAGGTTCTGAAAATGATATGCCTTTACTTTATTTTATATACCGACATTAGTGCTTTAAAGTTCTAATTTATTGGCAAGTAACCGTAACGGATCGTAAAAAGAACAATTTTATAATACGTGAAACACAAAATTGTTTTTGGAGTTGCTTAAATATTTATTCCAACTTATAAATAAATACATAGATATTTTACTCTTTGTTAATTTTATCCACTCATTTGTGTCTTAGAACGAAAAATATTCTATTGTTAATAATGTCGACAGTATACAAGTTAAAAATAGTCAGAGCGGTATCGAATTTAAATTTTTAGGGTTTTATGTAACTGTGGACACATCAACTCAGAAAGATGGAAGTGAGTGAGTAAATGTGAGTTTCCAACACTTCGTTGAACTGTTTCCGTCCTCAGTGGGAGCTAATGGAGTGTGTATGTTTCTCTTTGCCACTGGTCTTTCAATTTGATCTTTCGCCTTTCTACAAAGAGTATTACATGTAAACCGTAGAGCAGTAGGAAGAGGGCATTGTACCGGTTTATAGTTCATGCAAGACAAAAAACAAGCTACTTTTATGCAAGAGATGTAATTTCTCTTGATGGGTTAAGTAACGATAGTGGTTTCATCTTTGAGTGTCCGACTATAGTTACTAAAGTTGAAACTAGGGCTACTTTACATGTCTCTTTTGTATTTCTAAGCCAAATCTGAAATTATCTTTAAAAAATTTCGCATTAAAATGCATTTGTTCTTAGCAGAATATTTTGGGTTCTAATGTTTCGGACGATAATGATGCCTGTTTTCAAACTCTGAAGAATATGAGAATGTGTGATAGATGATGCGTAACAAGAAATGCTTTATATTTCGTAAAAGATAGTCAGAGGGTTATTATAACCCGGCGTTTCTCAACCTATGGTACGCGTAATAAGTAAGAAAATCAAAAGTTAGTGTTAACATAAATAACAGTTTTCCCTGAACGCATTTGACCAGTGGTACATTTAATGTGTTAAATTAGAATTAGTGGTACGCCAGCGAAAAAGGTTGAGAACCCCTGTTATAACCCATACGAATAAAGTTGTTTACACGATAATAATTTCAGTTTTAGACGGTTCAGCCAAATTATTCAGATAACATAAAGTTTCTTGAGGACCATGCATTTATATTAAATTAAAATTAGTGGCGCTTATAACAAAATCGTTTTAATATTTCAGTTTGTGTATATACGGCTATGTTTAATTACATAATTGTTTACAGGAACATGCAACATGAGAGTATATTAAACTTTCACTTGCTGTAGGTCTGGTGAAAGTTCTCGGGAGCAGTGAAACTAAATACTAATTGTATTTTAGAGTTAATACGTACTTAATGAAGGAGCATGACGTTCGAGTAGCGTCACGGTTGTATAACTCGTAGTTAAGAGTGTTTCGAATAATCAATATTTATATGATATGACGTCTTCAAACAACCATCGAATCGTAAGTCTGTCAGTGAATATCAATACGTCTGGTGCCTTCACACAAACATACGAGCTGCTCGTATGAGCTGCTGCACTATTCTCCGACGAACTTCGAAGTCGCTGGACACATATAAACGAAGTTCGAGATTTGTGCGTTTCACGATCTGAAAACGTGAAAAATGAGAACCGGAAGGATCAGCCTGTAACTTTGTCGATTATAATCGGACCATAGTGCAACTTTAAACTAGGCATTGTCCTACTCTAAAGAACGTTTTGTGAAGACTGGAAACGCACCACTCTATGTATAAAACTAGTTCATTCTTACATTTTGAGATGGGTCGGTAATGCAGCCGCGAACACAAAATTCGCTTAATACGTTCTCGGGAGTAATGAAACTAAATACTGATTGTATTTTAGCGTTAATACGTATTTTATGAAGGAAAATGACGTTAGAGTTGTATCATGGTTGTGTAACTCGTAGATAACAGTGTTCGAATAATTCAATTCAATTCAATTTTACATATTGAGCATAAACATTGTCTCCCTTGAGGGAAATGATCTAGATAGGTTGTTTTAATGGATGATCTAGCTTGGTTATCTTTTTTTTTTTGATATTTCTTTAACGTTTTACATTTATATTAGTGTTCCCTAGGTGGATTATTTATTTTTATTTATATTTTTTCATTTATTTTTCTTTGTGTATAATATTGTTTCTATTTCGGGATTTCCTGTATTTGGCTGTTATATTTAATATTGTACATATATAGGTTTAGTTAATCTGTTTGTGTAATATTTTTCATTATTATTTTATTATTATTGTGTGTATTATCAGTGTTTGCCTGTTATTGGCTTCTTGCTGTTGGCAAACACTTAAATAAATTAATTTAATTTAATTAGTGGTAAAATTTGAATGTGTTATGCATGGGAATTTTTGTTCAGGTTTGGAGGAAAAACATAGCAGATTAAATTAGTGCATATAACTTTTATGTTAGATGTCATTCTGTTATGTTTGACACCATTACTCCAGTGACCACCCAAATATATCTAGAAATACTATATGTATATAGTGTCTGGAATAATATAATGTGTAATTTTGTTATAAATACTCTTTTTCCCCATTGTGACTAAAGGCATGAATTAACTTGTACATGGATGTTATACACGATAAAGTAAAACTTTCGACAAATATTACGGATTATAATTGTATAAAAATGTTACGTTTCTGTCTATGGCTTCCATGCCATGGGATATCCTTTAGTAATTGATCATTGTTTGATTGTAGGTAGACAAAAGTACGTGAGTGTTCATGTATGTTAAGAATGTCTTGCCGAGATCGTGTGTACATTAAAGGCATAATGCATTCTGTACTCCGCTTGATATGTCAGCGAGGTTCCTTCAAAGTAACTCAGAATACGGTTTACCATATTACAGAATAGTTTTGCGTGTGACAAGTAAATTCAATCTGTGTTCGGGAAGTATTTAGTTCTACTATTTATAGAATTATTAATACCCTAACTGTGGTTTTTCGGGGATTTCCAAAGTTTTCCTCCGTCTTTTCAAACGAAATCAGGAATGGTGTCTCGAAATATGCTATAATTTTTCCTTATATCTTACCACCTCATTTGATGCTATATTACCTTCACATTTGAAACAGCGTTAAACATCCATCCATCAGTCGAGTACGCCCGGAAACACTGACGGATTTTTACTCAATTCAAGAAAGTGAGGAGTTTATGGATTTCATATCGGGCACAAAACACACACACAAACGCACACGTTTTCCAGTTTAACAATACTTAAACCTTCAGTCTCTACATCAAAGAAAACATGATACTCCTCCATTTTAAAGATCACATCTTCATAATCGCCGCTGTGAGAACCTCAAATCTTATCCAACGTGTTAATGTTTTTCTAGAAATACTATTAGATCAATTACTGACCTAACTGACGAGAACAAGAAGACAGATTAGAGGTTTCTGCGTATTTATGGAATACAATTTAATAAGTTTCTTTTCAATTTTAATTGCGTATGTCACGGTTTAATGGCGTTTATGCACCGCTCTGGAGGGGAGAGAGTCGTACAAATGGCGTGGAAGGCCATGCAGAGGGGGTGGGGGGAAGGACGCGAAGTGCTTGTGCACGTCAACGACGCGAGTTTATAAAAGAAGGCCAATAAGTCAATCATTACTGTTACTTGTAGGCAGACGGTGGGTGTCAGTTACGAATGTTTTCTAAGCGTTTTTGTATTTTGTCTGTCTCTTGCTTTATTCGCTTCTGTTACTTATTCTTTATGTTTGTCTTTGTATGGTAAACGACGGAAGTGTCGTCGCACACCGCAATTCTCGTGGAAAGATGGTTTGAAGTGTTTTGAAGTGTTGTTGATGGAAACTCATATCGAACATAGCTGTGGGAAAATAAACGTCTCTGATGTCAGTGCGATACCGTATTATATCTCGCAGTGTTTGTTAATTGTGCAGTTACGTGTTGTTACATAGAGCGATTATAAATGTTGAGAGAATATTTGTTCCATTGTTTGACTAGCATAGGTTAGGAAGTACTAAACATTAAATTGGTGTCTGAATTATGATGGCTGTAATTCCACGCAGCTCGCATTTAATAACGTTTATTAACCTTCTCTAGTGATTTACTGATAAATCAGTTATCATTGGACGTATAACTACATATTCTTAGGCAAAAGTACACCAGTGTTACAGTTTTCATTTCGTGTTAGATTGAAAATCAGAATAGGCGTTAATTAAATATTTTACTTCAACTACTTTTAAGTACCGTGTGAAATTTTGTGGATCACATTTCATGAAAATAAATGTTTAGACATTCATTAATTTTAGTTTGAAGTCCAAACCGTTCCTTCAGTTGGTACTGTGTGTATCAGACCCATTTTAATGTGCATGGCTTCGTTATAATGAACTCGCAGTGGGTCGCATTTGTTCTTTGCATGTGAGACTGCTTCTCTAGAACACGGAAGTTAAGTAATTTAAAAATGACGTGTACGACAGTCTTTTCCTTCTGTATCATGGGTTTAATACACACCTGATTATGGTTATTTTGCCAGTATTCCCACTGTTACATTAAAAAAATTGTTTAAAGAAACGGAATGAATTTGTTTAGGAACAACATTTTTACATTAAGATATTCTTGTCGTAAATATATAAATATTCCTGAGTTAAAAACTGAGATAGAAGGTAGGCAGCTTCCTGTATTCAGTCACAGATTTGTAGCCTTCAAAGTAAGGTGTTGTTATGATCACTGGAACACACTCCGAGGTTCCTTAAAATTATATAAACATTATAACTTACACAAACACGTTCCTGCCTTCGAGAGACAGAATGAGGGCAGAAATCTATTTTCGAACGTAATTTTAATGCTTGTTGAATTATGATCACTTAATGTTATAAGATTTTAATTCTGGCTTACAGAATTGTTTCCAGATCTTGCTGAGGCAAATTAATTTAAGTCTGATGGAACATTCATATAGTTTCTTCGGTAACACTTAATATCTCTCCTTTTCACTACCGAGTGAAGGTGAAAGTATTGTATTTGCTTTTCAGGTACGTACATTAGTAACGTATTGCGATGGTAGAGATACAAGAACTGAACGTATTGTACGTGGCAATATGTTAAAGTCCCCTCGTGAGAGGAAAGAGTAATAGACGATAACAAAGAGGAACTGACAGCGCCAAACAAAACGATAGTAGTAGAGGAGGGATGATAGAAAACCCAAAGGCGTGGAAGGAAGTTGAATAACCACTGAAACAGGTCTAGGCCAATGATAACAGGCAGTTTTTTTTAACATCTAGACGCATGCGATTTACACGACATAAGAGTGCCATACGGTGTTCAGTATTTCTGTATAGTGTTTTCGCTTAGCAGCCATTGAAGTATGGTTCTGAGTGATACGCAGGCAGTTGTGGTTGTTATTGTGCTGTGAACATGGGGGTGGATACTTTGTGCCTTCTTGGACAGTAAAATTTCAAGAATCTTAAGTGGTTGTCATGGAAGAGGACTCAAAAACCACCGAGTGGGCTTTATTGTTCCCACTCAAAGCGGGATTATTTGCTTTCAAATCGTCCACAGTTGTTAACCATTCAGATCCTAATTCCGATGTATCAAGCAGCAAAGACACGAAGATCCTCCAAAGAGATTGTCTTGATGACGGGAAATTGGAAGATTCATTTTGTACTATTTCCAATCCCGCCAGCTCCAGGATGAAGATGAGACGTCGGTCAAGCATGTCGGATATTGATAAATTTACGTCTTCAGTCGGACTTCTTCCTGATCTTGTTCGGTACACTGGTGGCAGCAATACTGCCAGTGGTTACCATCTTCGTGTCGGTGGAGACGGGTACGATTCAGTGCCTCATAGTCCAGGAACGTCTAGGAGGAGCAATACTCCTGACATCGGAGCTTGCGGAAGTATCGGTGATCTGATGAACATGAAACGTTACGGAGGGAGTTCGTGGAGCGTAAGAAGTTGTACGGAGACAATTATTGCCAAAACTGTTCCTCTCTCGACGGTGACTCCCAGAGGCAGCGCTCCGCCAAGCCCGTTACAAGATCATAAACAACACCCAGAACTACCGAGAATTGATTCCAGAGAAGTTGAGCTGTCGTCATCCTCCGAAGATGTGGAATATGATGGGGATGAGGAGGATTCAGGGCCTCCACCGAAACTCACCTGCTCGCAGAGAACGGAACGCTTGTCCCGTCTTATCCGGCAGCAAAGAGGGTCCATCTTTGTACACACTTCCAAAACGGTACGTTGCATATGCATGAAAATAAGGATCGAAGGTTTTATTCCATTGACATTCTGTGTGTACTGCTTCAAGTGAATGGGTTTTAAAACTTTTAAAAACAAATACGTAAAATATCACAATATCCCCATATATGTTTACATTTATATCCACCTAAATGAAATGTTTCTCCTCGTGTTATTAGGTTCTGTAGCTACCAAAGTAGCTATGCCACCATAACAGCTGTTAACATGTGAAAATGGGTTAATTTTATCGTATACCACTTATAGACATAGAAATATACTTGATTTTATGTTCTCGTATGAGTACATAATTGTACTGTATGTCTTTCTGTATTATATTACTTGCATGCTACGATTTCAATTTGACAAAGTTTGGTAACAAGTGTTTCTCACGTAGCGTTGGAACTAAATTTCATTTTAATGTCACTGGTCACTTCTGAGTCTCAGCCACTTTTGCGAGCACAGCTTCTGTTGATATACGAGTCAAAAGTACTCATAAAAGATGTTATAAAATCAAGTTAATATTATTTTAATTGTGTGTGTGTGTGTTAGACTTCAAAACATCGAATGCGGTACGTGTAATGGAATTGCTATCCATAATTTGTTTCATTCAGCCATCTTCTACGTCACTTACCCTAATCTCGAATAATATTAACACTGGCTTAGTCATATCCACAGTACGTTAGACTACACTGAAAGTTGAAACAAAATGTTTCAGCATGAATAAAATGTGAATCCAAGCTGTGATCAATCATTTGCTTCTTATCATACACTGTCGTTCAGCTGCAAAGTAAACTTTTGCTATCGAATGGAAAGGCACAATCTGCTTTGCCTAAGCAAATTTTCTTTGCAGTTTCGCGTCCCTCGTTAGTATTCATACCCATTTATAGTGGACGAGATCTATTTCGACAAACTTAACTGGCACTTTACTCCGGTTAATTTCAATAGAAGAGAACCACAAATTTTATGGCCGATAAAGATAATCGGCCACGACAATTTAACATTTTATAGCGGTACAAATGAGCTAACCACTGTATTTTGTTAAATTTTTATCACATGCAAAAATGTTCAAAGCATTTGTTATAGATTTCAGATATATGTGCTTCTGCTTGGTAACATTATTTTAAAGGTAGGCCATTTCTGACAAATTTTATTTTAGCTTCATGCAAAGTAAATATTGTAGTTTGCGATACGACCGAAATGAAATTAACGGGATAGCCTTTCTTCTGCATTACAGGAAAAAGAAACTCATCCAAGTTCTTTAATTAGCACAGACGTAGTACATAAATATTTCCCTCCAAAGTTCCCCTGAATCGATTTAATGACTTAGTTATGAAACACGAATGGGCCTGCGATTAGTCATCTGACGTCATATATGACATTTATAAACAGTGCAGAGATCGAAGATTTTTAAACAGACTTAGTTCAACGTGATTTTTATAATTTTTGCATTCACTGCCTCCATTATGCCAAAGTTTTGCACCTTCTTAATTATTCTTGGCGTTACGTGGAACCGAAAGTTTCGATTTCTGCTTCGATCAGTATTAATCGCTACTAATCTGAGTTAGAAAATTGTAACAGTGCCGAAGCCTCTCCCCTACACGTCCTTATCATGGCAGAATATACGACAAACTTCCCTGTTCCACTAGCTGCTCTGCACAAGTTCGTATGTATGTACATACAGAATGTCCCATAAAGATGAACACACATTCAATGAGTAAAATAAAGACATTTTACTAAACTAAACCATTACGTAATCAGGATAGGCAGTTGCTGCTATTTATACATATTTTGAGACACTCTGTATGTATGTGACTTACAATGTAGCCGTTAGTAAGTCTGCATATCCTACTACACACATGGACAGATAAAAAGTTTTTTGGGGCAATAAAAATGCCACAATAGAACTCATCAACTTGTCGAAAGAAACGTTGTAACAATTTTTCTATCTCGTGAGCTTGAAACGGAGTCTGGTCGAATTTAGCTGTGCGGAATAACTGCTCGCGGACTGCCAAAAGATGATTTCGTGTAAAATGCTCAAAGGTTTTGTCTGATACTACACATAAGCTACTGATACTTAACGGATAGTACAGTACAAAGACAGCAAATTAGATTTTTAATTTGATTACATCAACTTATATATAACGTATATTCGCCTTTCTTGCGATGTTATTAGTTCGTAATATATCTTACGGAATATTTTATTCATAGGCTCAGAAATATAACATATATCCGTTTGTTGTATGGCCTATTTGGAAAATGTAAATTAGATATGCTGGTACAATTTCAATTTCGTAATAGAAATATGAGTATCGCGAAGCGTATCCGGTCTTAATATGAAACTTTCATAAAGTCGGCAAATTCCATATTAGCCACCCGCTATAGCACTCCGTGTACTGCACAGATCACTATATACTTTATTTCGAGCAGCTGGGAAGCTGCGACAGGCTTCGAATGCGGAAAACTGCGCTATTAATTAAGCTGGTGAAGGTTAAATTTACCTTCGTATTCTGCATTACGTCACATATTCCTGCGTGTCATACGAAAATGGTAAATAATATTATCTACTCGTACATATGCATTTGTTATATAAACCAGATAATGGCTAGCTGTACCTTAATAATTTCAGGACTCACTATTCAAAGAAATTTTCTGTATTCGTTTCTGCTACTTCTAGTGCTTTTGCACTTAATTGTGTTGCTTCCGTAATTTTAGAATTTCAATACTTTAGTCATGATAATGTTTACTGTATGCATGGTCTGTGAAGCAAAATTGGATACAAATGACGTGTTGTAAGTCAATCGATTATGGGATATAAGTAATATTTATGAAGAGTTTGTGTGATTAATGTAGGATCTTCTGAGAGGAAAAATATCTTAAGTAAATATAATGGTACATTAGACTTTCATGCAACGTAATCTGACTTGAACTAGCGGTGTGGGATTGTTGGAAATTAAAAATGTGCGGAAATTACTCTATATTTTGACTGAGATGTGGTATCTAGAACGCATGCATCCGGCATTTTCTGATAACTAAAACTGAAGAGGAAGTTATGTTTACGTTTAATGTTTGTATATTGTGCAAGAATTAATGGACTGTAATATTTCGAGTACTTTTTGAAACTGTATTGTTATCTTTAGTCTGTCTTTTCGTATTCCCTAAATTTACGGAGGTTTGTAATTTTACTTTATGTCTGTGTCCCTTTTTTTCTCATACTTAAACCTATTTATATATATCAGTTAAATCTGTATGAAGGTCATGTCAGTTACAGCCACCAACGCGGAGCACATTTGAAAATTTGCCTTAAAAACAAACGCGGCTATTGTAATCTTTTGTAACGAGAGCAACTCTAGCAGCACTCATTAGGTTGTATTGGAGCGTCATGTTTCGGATATAATAAACGAATAGCAACGTTCTTGTTAACGTCCTGAATAGAACACCAGGTATAGAAGAATGTAAAACTTCACATATATACAGGATGTACGATTTAAAACGCTACCCAACAAAAACCATACAATACGTTACGAAAATAAAGCCAAGAGACAGGCCAAACCCCAATCTCCAAACCTCCTTCGTGACACTCGAGTCCTTGTCCCTCAAATTCCTAGGCCGCTGCACACTACGGTTGCACAAAATCTGTCCAGGTGCAAACATGGTGTATTCACGAGCAGAAGGTGTGATCATCCTCCATCATTGCTTCACAGTAAAATTGTATGAGTTGTCTGTGAAGAATTTAGCAACGTGTATCCTTACAATGAAGTGGCTAATTAAGCATTACTGATGATAACATTTCGGGTGGATGCTTGTCATTGAGTGGATGGTGGACATTTTCAGCATTTGCGGAAATGTGTTCTGTAGGTTCTTATTAACAAATTAAAGCTAAAAGCAATTCGTTCGTATTATTATAGTAATGTCACCGAAGCTTACTGATGCTGTTGTTGTCAGAGTTGAATTTTAAACAAAACACGCTTTGTCATCACTTTAATCCGAAGACCCAATAACACAATGTAATATATACATCATTCAGCATAATTATAAATCTTAGCTCTTGAAAGGTCATTTGTAACTTTAACCACCTGCATAGTAATAATCAGGAACTGCATTTTGCACACAGAGTGTATTTGTGGGTTTAGTATGATTCTCAGAGTGAACAACAGTTATTTTCGTAAGCAACATTAACCATTTAATCTTTGTAATGGGCAGTGTTGTGTTTTTCTTTGCCATAGAGGCTGGATTATTAAATATTATTTAGACGATCTTTGGCCTCAAAGCCATTGGAATGCATAAACTTAAACTACATTAAATGAAACTAATGTTTCAACATTTTTAATTTATGTCCATTCTCATATTTATGGGTAAATTTGAAGGTTAAAATTAATGTTGTTAAATTATGATTAGAAAGTCTGAAGATTTGAAGCCAATCGGAAGACCTAAGCGTAGATGGGAGGATAATATTAGAATTCTTCTGGTGGAAATAGCATTTGGAATTATGAGTTGGATTTATATTGCTCAGAATAGGGACCGGCGTCTGGCTGTTGTGAACACTGTGATGAACCTTTGGGCTCCATAAAACGAGGCGAATTTCTCGATTATCTGAGCGTGATGTTAGCTTCTCGAGAAGTGATCTTCTCAATATAGTTAGTTAAATATGCTATATTTTTAGGTCATGACATTTATTTAAAAAAAATTAAATTGTTTTGGAGTTAACACGGGTTGTAGACTGAATATTAATTGTTTAAGATAGTCGCGTACTAAGGCCTCAGACGAGTCCGTCCAGTTCTCCTTCTTTATATGTCACGAAGGTGTCTAATTTTCGTCACTGTCTAGTGAAGTGTGTCATATGCCCTCATATACCGTCGAGCGTGCATACACGGAAATGCACTTATGATCATTTCTGGTTGCTGTCACTAGATAAAGTTGGTTCGGAAATTCGGGTCCAGTACAGAGTTGCAGGTGGTAGTGTATGACTAAAAACCGGTGTCAGCCGGAGTTAACACATTT